TGCACTGAGGTCTAGCAGGACAAGCACAGAGATGAGTCCACTGTCAGAGGCCATAAGAAGATCATTTGTAACCTTCACTAAAGCTGTTTCTGTGCTGTGCTGAGCTCTGAAACCTATTTAGTTTTTTGGTCTGAAATATCAGTCAGTGTCAGATGGATTTGTTGTCATGGTGTTCTGCAATTTCCAGTAAATTGTTGTTGTCTAAAGAAAAACAGTGGTGTGGTAAAGTATATACACCTTCCAACAACCAATTACACGTATGAAATTTCTCAAACTGTATCACAACATATTGTTGTTATAAACTGTCCTATTAATTATATTCCACACTCCTACTACACGAGTGCTGAACAGGATGGGCAAAATTCATGAACTGTTCCAGAGTCTACAGAGCTTTTCGATTCTTATCATGAGTGGGAAAACACTAGTGTCAAGCTGCCAGGATATCAGTCCAGTCAAGACTGCTTTTTCTGTTACAGAAGACAAACTAGAAGAGCACCTGAGGGGCTCTGGACTTCGAGCAGTGATTGATTACAAAGCACATTATTAAAACCAATCTTATGTAAAAGTGTTTTAGTTTGCCCACTTACTTGAACCTCTGAATAGGAGTACTTTTGCACCTCAATCATCAACATCTTGATTGTTTCATTTCAAATCCACTGTGTTGGAGCACACAGGCAAATCATGTTCCAAGCTCTCGTGAATTCATGAGTTACCTGAAGAATCAGCACAAAATTTTATCTAAAACACGATTAAATTAAATAACATTGATTTGTGCTGCCTAACTCTGCTCCATGAAAGGATGGGCTACAACTCTATCAGAAACACTTGGAAGGTCACCTTTAGTGTCCATTCACAGGTTTACTCAAGCTGTTCTTCTGCCTTACAAATAGGCAGCAGAAACTGAAAATCAGTATTCAAATGCACATGCCTGATACGAAATGCTTACTCACCCAATAAAAAGGAAAGTTGCTTCTTTTTTCACCAGCAATGTATTAATATAACAAAAAATATGTATTTAAAAAAAAGGGGGCGGGGGTGGTGGCAATTAGTTTGGTGTTTTAATCCCTGGGTCATCCTACACTTTATTCAAATTCAGGTTAAAAGCCTGCTGTGGGTCCAGTACAGCCCACGGCCCTGTGCTGTGGGACATTATCAACACAAGTCATAATCTGGGTTTGAACATTCTGCATATTGTATTCAGAACTGTACGCATACAAATGAGTGTCCACTGAATCACAGTCAAATATATGTGAACTCATATACAAGCATGTACTGCAGTGGAGATGACTCAGCCACAAGCATTGCCATGGAAACACTGCCTCTTTGCATTCAGTCTCTTAGTAACTGTGCAGTTGCCGAGGAACAGACCACTGTGTAGTTGTGTGTTTGTGTGTGTGAGTGTGTGCACTGAGAAATGATGTAAGTCTCTGGCTCAGTATTTGGGTGGATTCTAAAATGAGTGAAAGTGCAAAAAGAGTATATAATATATATACTTTATTTCTTTATATATATTTATTTTATGTTTAAAGGCTTTCTCTGAGATTCCTCAGGAAAATAACCATCTAGCTACCGGCCACCTTTATCTAATTCACCTGGTCCAGTATGAACTGGGCCAGTGCTGTGGGTGTTTTGGACCTTGTGAAGCCTTGCCGACAGCATCCTCCCCATCTGCCATGTCCTCTCCATGATGCTATACTTGTGGTCACAGTGACCTCTTCCAAATAATGTCTTTTGTCATGTTTCATCTCCAGACGGTTGTGACCAAACTCTTCAGTATCACAGTGAAACGTGTCATAGACATGCCGCTCCCATGTCCATTTCACGCTTTGCCTCTCCAAAGCATCAAATGGACACATGTGCACAAGTTCAATTACTGCATGCAGAAGTTGCAATACCAGCAGGGGGAGATATATATTTAATAAATGTAAAACTATTTAATCACCAGAAATGATTACACTAGGCAGCTAACAAGTATTTATGCGTACATGTGTTACAAATGTCTGTGTAAACGCCTTCCTGTGATTATTGCAATGTTGGCTTGAAATAAAATATCTCCCTCTGCTGATACTGCAGCTTACTGCA